GTCAGTCCCACTATTCGTTGGTAAAAGAATAGCCCAAGAGTTGGCGGTGGGTGGTGATGACTAGCTGCCTTCCCTCTAGTCTTACACTGCTAAATTAGGGACGGCTAGCGCAGATAGCCCTCGTGTAGCTTTGCGCGAAATTCCAAAAACAAACAATAATAACAAAGGTTTTGTTATTAATATATTTTGTTATTAAATATAGAGATTGAAAGGTAAAAACGAAATTTGATTTATATTCGCTGTAAAATGTTTAATTTATCATGATATTAATTATCTATGAACTTTTTTACATAAATATGTGATATTTTCGTAACCGTAAAGTTCGCTACGTGATAAATTTGTTACTGTTTGCTACTAAGAGGAGATAGAAGAAAAGTTTGGATTTGTCGTAAAAAAAGGAAATGTGAGTAATTAACAAGTTTATTTTAATTATCTGCCAAACTATGTTATACAACCAGAGAGTCCACAAATCAAGTAGAGACAATTAGTTTAGTTAGCAAGGCACTAGATTAGCATAAAACTACGAATGATATAATAATGTCATCCAAAGATTACAATACCTTCCTTAAAATTATTATAATGTTAATGCAAATGTTGCCAGTGTTTGATTTTCTCTTTTATCATATTACTCAAGGCGTTTTTTTGTAAGTTTCCCAAAGTTCGGTGACCTAGTGATTTTTGATACGATATGATTAATTTCACTGAGTAGTCTTTGACCTTTTAACCTATGATAGTGGTAGACTGATTTAGCAGTTAACAGTGTTAAGGTCATATGTATATTAGAATACAAATTAGGAAACCATCTTTTCCCCAGTATAACTCATGTATGTTGAATATATCTCAGTAGGGCCAGTAACGAAGTTTCAAAACCCTCATGAAACCCACAAAAGTCTGTCGTGTTTTTGTGATTTCTGATTTTACTGTAAGAAAAGAAATAAATTCAATAAATAGGAATCTGAAGTGAGGAAGTTAAAAATCCTAAGATGTCAGTGAGCTCATTTTAAATACATCAAAAAATAATATATCTATATAACAAATGCGCGAGAAAAATGACATTATTACATCATTCATAGTTTTAAAATGACGTTATTATATCATCCATAGTTTTAAAATGACATTATTACATCATTCATAGTTTCAAAATGACATTATTATATCATCCATAGTTTTAAAATGACATTATTACATCATCCATAGTTTTAAAATGACATTATTATATCATCCATAGTTTTAAATTGACATTATTATATCATCCATAGTTTTAATAGGATTAATTGTCGAATTCAAATAATGTTTTAATACAACTGATAAGAATGTAACTCTTGGAAAGTGAAGTCACCTGCGACTAACAAGATAACCTACTAAAGACTTAAGAAAAAGGTGAAATTTTCTATTGAGACTTAAGTTATCTCATTGTTTGAAAAATGCAAATATTGAGAATTCGTTTTAAAAAAATATGAGAATATTTTCCCTTTAATCTGAGTTGAAAAATCATCTTGCGTATTATTTACTTTAAAACCTTACGCAGAATACAGAATTTATCATGAGACTAATTTCCATTAAAATATTCTGAATTACATATATTAATCCTATAGCCACGACGGTAGGCTTAACAGCTGTTTCTTGCCTCCATGACTACTTTGTCGCCACTATAAACAGGATCATCTTTATGTCCACAAGTTCTCTTAATTTTCTTCTGCCGAATGCTGAAATTATAACATTAAATTAAAATACGAACATTTGTCTTTATTGCAACAGTACGTGAAATTAGTGTCTTTATTGCAACAGTACGTGAAATTACTGTCTTTATTGCAACAGTACTTCTTTAAATACGGGAGTTCTAGAATAATATAAAATAATTCTAATCCAGACACTTAAATCTGTAAGTCCACTTATCTTAGGCCTAACATTAGTTAAGCCTTTATTAAGTACAGCCTATATTAGATAAAGAGTTTATAGTAACAGTTTAGCTTGTGTACGTTTTTTGCTTTAGTTTTCTTAGGATTAAACTTTACTGTACTTAATACTATCAATAAATAAACTTATAATAATATTGTTGAAAAGTTTGGTGTACAAAACTTGAAGATAGGTTTTATATACGGAAACATACGTTAGCTGAGTTCTTGCAAAGAAATTAAAATATAATGTTGATAAAT